GAAATTAATCAAACTTGTACTAAGTAATCTAACTAAATAACATAACCTAACCTAATTAAATAACCTTTCCAAATAAATCAATGACAAATTTAATTTAACTAAAATAACATAACCTTACCTAACTAAATAACCTATTCTACATAAATCAATCAGAAACTTAATTCAACTAAATAACCTAACCTAACTAAATAACCTAACCTAACTAAATAACCTATTCCAAATAAATCAATCAACCTAACTAAATAACCTAACCTAACTAAATAACCTAACCTAACTAAATAACCTAACCTAACTAAATAACCTAACCTAACTAAATAACCTAACCTAACTAAATAACCTAACCTAACTAAATAACCTAACCTAACTAAATAACCTAACCTAACTAAATAACCTAACCTAACTAAATAACCTAACCTAACTAAATAACCTAACCTAACTAAATAACCTAACCTAACTAAATAACCTAACCTAACTAAATAACCTAACCTAACTAAATAACCTAACCTAACTAAATAACCTAACCTAACTAAATAACCTAACCTAACTAAATAACCTAACCTAACTAAATAACCTAACCTAACTAAATAACCTAACCTAACTAAATAACCTATTCCAAATAAATCAATCAGAAACTTAATTCAACTAAAATAACATAACCTTACCTAACTAAATAACCTATTCCAAATAAATCAATCAGAAACTTAATTCAACTAAAGTAACCTGACCTAACTAAATAACCTATTCCAAATAAATCAATCAGAAACTTAATTCAATTAAAATAACCGAACCTAACCTAACTAAATAACCTATACCAAGTAAATCAATCAGAAACTTAATTCAACTAACCTAACGTCACCTAAACTAACTAAATAAACCTAAATAAATAAGCTATCCCAAATAAATTAACTAGTAACTAATTTATCTAAAATAACCTAAATAAGCTATTCTACCTAACCTAACCTAAATAACCAAGTACCAACAAAACTAACCCAACTGACCAACGACGCAGTGACCAAAAATGAACTTATAAGCTGTCCATGGTCCATTTTTTGCAAAATCTATTAATATGGCAGATGTTCAAGTGCGGTCGCCACTCAATTGCGTTCGAAATTCACGGATCAGCTGTTTCAGCCAATTTGGTACGCGGGCAGAACTTGGACGAGACCCGGCACGCACGAAATGCTTGCAACAGACAGAATTTCGCCGATTTTTCGCGACATCGATGACGAGAAAATGAACTGTGGCCAGCCGTGAATGCCTGCCAGTTGTGTCGTAGTTGATGTTACACCGATTCGCGCAAACACTCTTTGATTTCGTTCGAATGCTACGTAGTTTACCGTTGATTAAAATCGAAACGGTTCACCTTAATCTTTTATTGGGAGAATAAATAAGCGTCCGATAAAAGAAAAAGTACACGAATAACAGCGCATATTTAGTATGCTGTCTGTCGCGACAGACGAGTTATGTCGGGGGCCAAGAACTTCGCAAAATGCCGCGTCAGCTTACGTGGACTGGTGCCCGACTTTCTTATTTACCTCATTCTGCAATACATGTTTCAGAGCACAATATCTACATACCAATACTTTCGGTGGCAGCCATTTCAATCTTCGAGTGAAAGATTCAAAACAAACTTCTCCATTCGAAATATAAACTTCACGCGGTTTGAATAACTAATATGGGAACTTGTTTAGAACCTTCGGGAATTTTGTTGTTGGCGTGTTTTGCAAAGTAGAGATGTTTGTGATTATTTTGGAGGTTGAGAATTTGAGAAATTTATGGATTTGGCGAGATGGGGTGTTGGGGATTTAGGGAGTGGGCATTTGGGTGATGGGGATTTAGGGAGCGGGGATTTTGGGAATGGGGATTTGAGGAATGGGGATTTCAGGAATGGAGATTTAGGGAATGGGGATTTAGGGAATGGGAATTTAGGGAATCGAGGAGTTAACAATTTAGGGGATTTAGAATTGAACAAATTGGGAATTTTGGGGAGTCGAGAATTTGAGAAGGTTGTAATTTGGGGAAGTGGGAATTTGGGAAATTGGGAATCTGGGAATGTGGGAATTTGGGGGATGTGGGAATTTAGGAATGTAGGAATTTGGGGATGTGGGAATTGGGGGATGTGGGAATTTGGGGATGTGGGAATTGGGGGATGTGGGAATTTGGGGATGTGGGAATTTGGGGAGTTGGGAATTTGGGAAGTTGGAAATTTGGGAATGTGGGAATTTGGGGGATGTAGGAATTTGGGGATGTGGGAATTTGGGGGATGTGGGAATTTGGGAATGTGGGAATTTGGGGGATGTGGGAATTTGGGAATGTGGGAATTTGGGAAGTTGGGAATTTGGGAAAATGGGAATTTGGGGAAATGGTAATTTGGGGAAATGGTAATTTGGGGAACTGGTAAATTGGGGAGATTGTAATTTGGAAAAGTGGGAATTTGGGGAGATGGTAATTTGGGAAAATAAGAATTTGGGGAAATGGAAATTTGGAAAGTTGGGAATCTGGAAAATTAGAAAATTCAAAAATTCAAATACTTATAATTTTGCAAGTGCAAATATTCCATAATTGTCACAATAAGCCACATCCTTAATTACCCATTCCTTACATTCTCTTCCTTTATCGCCAAATAAACACTGCTTCAAAATCCTCACATTCTGCGTGAAACCTAAATCTCACGTCTGCCGCAACTGCATCTTCCTAACCTAACCTATATTATTTTCTTCCTCTACAAATTCAAATAAACATTCATAACATGATTCCACTACGAATATATATCTAATTATATGTTAAACAACGGTTTATCGCATACTATTAAGCCATCCTAGCGTAACCTTGAACGTAAAAACTTATGCATTAACCCAATTAGAATCAAATTTATTTCGCAAGTAGATGATTAATCAACATCGTATTAGGGTTAGCATAAATATAGATGGTTTAAATTTAAATACACGTAGCTGAAAATATTGAAGGGGTTTTTAGGTGTCGGTCCTCCTGAAAGTACCTCTGGTGCATTCAAATATAAACTTCGAAGCCAGGTCACAGCTCGAAAATAATCCCGAACATTTTAGGAAGGCGTTCTATCGTTTTTAGACCGATATGACCCCCGTTTTCGACTGTGTTCCAATTTCAATGACATTCATCCTCCGAAAAATTCTACAGGGTGCTCTGAACTGTTCATTCAAATCATTCATTCATAAACACATAACATAGTCATTTTTATGTGAAGTCACTAAAAATTTCTCCTTTTATCAAATATATAATTTTAAAGGGTTATCAAAGTGACTATAGTTCTTTATGTTGTCTTCATTTGAATCAATTTTTAAAGTCGTTTGAGATTTTTAGGCAGATTTAAGACAGATCTTCAATAATCTACAGAGCAAATTTTACTAGTTAATGTATTTTCTTTATTTAACTTTGAGTGTTTATAAATTCGAAGTGGAACGCAATAAAATCTCAAGAATTTCGTATGATTTACAAGTTCATATTTCTTGTTATAAAGATCGCAAGATTTTGACCCTTAACTCCAGTTATTTAAGAAATGGGTCACCCAGAAAAGATGACTTCCGATCCTCACCTTTATAAACGGCAGCCATTTGAGTATAAGTTTAGCGAGATTCATCGATGACCCAGATCGATTATTTTATACTGTTACTTTGTAGAACTATTATATTAACTACTATTCACTCTGTAATTAATGTACACGATTTGTTTGATGAATGCATTTGTGTTTTGTATCAGTGATGTCTCTAACTTATCTGGAGCCCCGGGTGTAATACATAGAGAAATATTATACAAGGTGTTACTTGAGAAATATTATACTTGGTGTTACTTGTAACACTACTCACAATTTTTCTCCCACTTGCAGTCATCTTACGAAAAAAAGTTTACAACAATATTTGCAGGGTACGAAGTGCACAATAGATATTAGTACAGCAAATTTTGAAAACAGTTTGTTCTCTCGGCAAAGTCAAGGTCACCTTGGTTCTTTTAAATAGGAACATACATTTTTTATTCATAGCTTTAGAGGACATCGAGACGAATTCAAAACACATATTACATGATATTTTTATTAACATATTACTCGATTTA